GCTATGAACTGTCCTTAACTTCATTTCCAGGGGAATCCGAAGCCCTCTTCTGACCTTTGGGGCACTGCACAACATGGGTGCACTCACATACATGCAAGCAATACACTCATATACATAAAATAAAAATAATAAAAATAAAATATTTTTCAAAAACTAACAATAAATAAAATATTTGAAAAAAATTTAAATAAATATTCTTTACTTTCCATAAGTGCTTAGAAACTAAAGATGGATCAAGAGGCTTATTTATCCCAAAGAACTCTTACAGTCCTGTGCAGATGCCAGCAGAAATAAGAGGTGGAAAACAATGCACTGGCCAGGGAGGAGGCGTCAGGTTCTCCCCTTTATCAAATTTCCCAGAGAAAAAGAAAGGATGAAAAGCAATTGCAGCCAATCAGAATAAACCAAATCTAAAACCTCTGAAGAAGTGGCAATGAAAGGAAAGCTACCCAGAGGCATGCCAACGTGTGGACACTGCAGGGGTGAGTCACACACAGCATTGATTAAAGGAGCAGAGAAAGCTCTAAGAAGAGCAGACCAAGTCCTGGGAAGACTGGGCTAAGTGTTTCCTCCTCCTAAAGACCTCTTCACATACTTTTCCTGCCATTTAAATTCAGATTGATATCTGGTCCCCAAGAAATCACTCTTCCTTCTACAGTCTCCTGCCTCCTCCTATCTTTGGGCGAAGGAGAGGGAAGGAGGTATCCACAAATGGGTGTATGTCTCTTAAGTGAAATTTCCTTATTGAATACTGCAAATGAGATACAATTCAGAACTAAAATGGGGACATTATTACAAAATCCAACATATTTACTTGGGTTTCTGTGAAGTATACACTGTGGTGTTTAAATCTTCCTTAAGTGCAACGGGTTTAGAAGTGTCCCCCAAAGGCCCACAGGTTGAAGACTTGGTCCTCAGCCTGGGCCACTAGTGGGAGGTAGTAGAACATTTAAAAGATGGAGCCTACTGGAAAGAAGTTAGGTGATTGCAGGCACGCCCTTGAAGGGGACACTGGGATCCTGGACACTTCTTATCCGTCTATGCTTCCTGGATGGGTTACAGGCTTCTTCTGCCACATCCTCCCAGCTATACTGTGCCACCCCAGACCCAGAGCAGCTCTAAGTGACCATGGTCGGAAACCATAAGCCAAAATGAGTCCTTCTGCCTCTTAAGTTGATTCTCTCAACTATTTTGTCACAGTAATTAAAAAAAGCTGACTTGAACGCTAAGAGTAGATTTCAATGAAGCAGAGAAAAGGAAGAGAATAATTCCTAATACAGGCACCATAATTTTAATTAATAAAATTATTAATTTTATTAATTTAACCAGGGGTCAGCAAACTTTTTAAGACCAGATAGAAAATATTTTATCCCTGAAGTTTATATGCAATCAAAGATAATATGTAAACAGATGAATGTGGCTATATTCCAGTAAAACTTTACAGATGAACACTGAAATTTGAATTTAATGCGATTTTCACAGACCATAAAATATTACTCTTTATTTTAATTCTTTCCAACTATTTAAAAATACAAAAACCATTTTCATCTCTCAGTGTGTAGAAAAGCAGGCAAGAGGCCAAGTCTGGCCTGCAGCTCTAATTTTCTAACTCTTGCTTTATTTTTTTTTATTTTTGGAGACCAGGTATCAGGTATCCCAGGCTGGCCTTAGACTCACTATATAGCCAAGACTGGCCTTGAACTTCTGGGATTATAGATATGTACCATCATGACTGATTTATATAATGCTAGTGATTGAACCTAGGGTTTCATGCATATAAAACAAACATAAACTGAGCTGCACCCCTAGCCTCCAACTCCTATTTTAAAAAGCTGATTTTTCAAAATGCAGCCCACAGCCCAGCAACACACACAACACCCATAAGAAATACATGAGGAAGATTCACTGGGGTGCCGTTCACATGTGTCACTTTGAGAAGCACTGATGTAAGTCTACAGAGACCTGCAGACTATGCTAAGATCTGTCTCCATGCTGCACCTTCACAGAGGGAAAGCTCTGAACCTCTCTTGCTTCAGTGTTTCCATGTACAGAATGCAGCTGAGCACTCCCTCAGGCAGCATTGTGAGAATCCACACAGGTACACACAGGGCTGCAAACAGGAGCTGTCGTCATCATTACCAAATCTTATGTGATTTTTCAGTTGTCCTCTGACACAAGCAATGTTTACCAAAATGGTTCAGAAAATAAGGAACTCACTAGAGATTACAAGTGAATCATGAGGAAAGGAGGGGTTCAAGGAGACAGAGGAAGCCGGATTCCCCCAGACCCCAGCTCATCACATCCACATATACTTTTACATGCCCACTCTCTCCCTTGCCCCTTTTATTTAGCCCATGAACCCTAAAATATTCCCTAAGAATATCTGCTATACAGAGATCTCCTTGAATCTGTACCCCAAGTTGCCCTTTAATTCCCTGAAATTTATCTTCCACTAATTTGCATATTGTTTTTTACAACTTCTCTTCTAGTTATGAATTGTAAATTTTCCTTCTGCTGAGTCTTGGAGCTGACTTATTTTCATTATATTTGTAGGGCTCAGCTTAGGCAAAAAAAAAAAAAAAAAAAAAAAAAAAAAAAAAAAAAAAAAAAACAAAAAAAAAAAAAAAAAAAAAAAGAAATAAAGAAAGAAAAGAAAATAGAGGCAATTCCTTTATTTGAGAATTCTGACATTTATTAGCATAATAAAACTCTCAAGATGAAATTGCAGTTTTCCAGACAGTAATTTCATTTGCAGGACAACTTGCAAGGAATTTATTTTAAAACCAGGTAAAGTCTAAAATATATGAGACAATACAAAAAGTGCAGGCCCCAAATAAAATAAAACGGATGTGTTAGGGACAGAAAGCTCAACTGTTGTCTCTCACATGCTAATTAGGAGGCGACAGGAACCACAGCCCAGTAAGTCAGCTTCTCAGCTGATCTTGGTCTCCTTTCAAAGCTGCTTCTGGACCTTTCTTCCACCAGGTGAAAAAACATTTCCTAGTGTCCCCTGACCCAAGACTGCTGAGCAGGAAGTTCCTGCTGCCTCCATGATTGTGGTTAGCAGAACCTTTTATTTGGACAGAGTTTCTATGTTCATCATTTAATTGATCTGCCAGAAACTTAATGACAACCACACAGAAAAATCTCTTCTCAATTACAAAGAGTTTAGTGCATTTCAATGACTTGAACACCTTCACAGAACTGGTACACAGCAAAATCAAAGCAAAAGTGAGTCTTCTGAGTCCTCGTAGAAATAAGGTAATTGGGATAGCACTTGGCTGTGGTTTTAAAGTAGTATAGAGTTCAGAAAGCAGGGTCCCTCCACCATGCCACTTCATCCATCCAGTGAGACAGACAGACTGGAGGGATGCTGTGGAGCTGAGATGTAAAACTGGTATTTTTACACATTGAAGTCACTTATAGTGGTACATATCGGTCATCCCAGTACTCAAGAGGTAGAGGCAGAAAGATCAAGAATTCAGGACCCAGACCTGAACTATATAATGAGTCCCAGGCCATCCTGAACTACATGGTAAGACCCTGTATGAAGACATAAAAATAAAACTAAGCATTTATATGGTGGATGTTTACCTGGAGTTCCCAAAGGCAGAGCCTATGGCCAAGATTTCTAAAGAGAGCAGCTGGTTGTTGGGGAGTATCATCCCAAAGGACAGCTCAGAGAGAACAGAGCAGAGAGTGAGTGAGGACAAGGGTCTTGGATGGATCTGGCCACTTCTGGGTTTCATCATGATTAGCTGCTTGATCTTGCAGAACTGTCCTCTAAGAGGTCATATGAAGAGCTGATTTTTAGAACTGTCCACCCAGAAGGAAGAAGAAACCCACTAGCCTTAGCCTCTCACTGACCCAGTGTTCACTAAATGGACACTGGCTTTCCAGCTTTTTCTGTTATGCCTGAACAGTGATGGGGGTTAGAGGCCACAAAGAACCATGTGTGGCAAGGCACCATTGGCTTACACACACTTGAGGCTGAAGAGCACAGTGAACAAAGGAAAATGGACTCACACAAAACTGGTTGCAGTGAAAGTACTCGGGGGTCAGGGATGGGCCAACTGCCAAAGATCTGAAAAACAGATAAGCCAAGAGGTAAAGTGAGAATAAGAGATGCTTGACATATTCTCAAGGAAGGTAAACCAGTTCCCTCATGTCCCAGAGTCTATTCATCCTTTTATATGTACCTAAAACAATGCTGTAAGAATTATGATGTCAATAACTTTCAGAGTGTGGGTCAAGATTTCCACCCAATCCTTCTAGAGTCCAGAACCTTCAGTCTTTCTGTCATAACCTGTTACCTCTTGCTCTGTGGCCATAAAGGAGCAACATGATTATGCTAAATTAGACACCTTTCCTGAGAATTATTGAGTTATTAGGAGATTACTCTCATGTTCAGATTAAGAGGACAGAAAAATCAAAAACGAAAGACCATTGAGAAGAGAGCTAAGCCTTTGAATAGCCTACCTACAGACAGCATCCTAGACAGCAAAGACATTATCAGATATCTAAAAACCTTCCTTGAATTTATAATCCATCCTAGGTGTTGGGCACATTTACATAAAATCATTATCTTAAAATTGCAAAACTAGGGCCAAGATTTGAGTCAAAGTTAGAGAAGGGAGGTGGAAGAGGTTAAGCAAAGACAACTGCACAGAGTGTATCACCTGCTCTGAAAGCCAAGGTCAGAAACCTTAGGTAATTCCCAAGATGAGATCAATGAACATCAGGAAAGATGTAACTTCTCCGCCTTCCACGTATGTTGCTTACATACCTGCTTCTGTCATCTCTACGACTTCATAAAGAGGTGCAGAAAATAACTTAGAAACCATTACACTCTGGTGATGGAATTTCAGATGTGCATTCGTTCAATAAACATGTATTAAATGTCTACCATGTTAAATATGGGTTCGGCACTGGTATTGTATGGGTTATTAAAACATGATCCATGTACTCTAGGAGCTCAACTTGGAGTAGCCATGACAAACAGGCCTCCTCTACTGCGATATCTCCATGAAAGAACTGTATCAGTTGTTCGTTATTTCTGTCTTACGCCTTGGAATAGGAACAGTACCATAAATGTAGTTATATGCCATCTTCTCATGACACACTATCGAATTGCTCCTCTGAAGAATGATGGATCTTCCAAAAGGTCAGAAGGCTCTGAGTTGGAATGCTCTTAAGATTGTTTCAAGAAGGGATGCTCAAAGGAGTCCAGTTAATAAGGAGGGAAGAAGATCATTCAAACAACAGATGATAGTCTGGCGGGCTGTCCCTCTGTCCGCAGGGTTCCTGCAGCAATTCTCCCCCAGAAACAGTGATGATTTCCTCCTAAAAGGGGAAAATGGAAATTTCACTCATGATCAAGAAAGGGTTATTAACATCCACAAGGGAAAGAGGGTGTAGAACTGGCTTGAGACAGAAAACTAAGACCACATCTGCCTCCCCCTCAAATTTCTAGAAATAATAGGGAAATTCTTCTTTTAAGAAGAAATAAATCTTTGGAGTATTATAAACTAAGAAGGAAGACCATCAACAAGAAAAATGTGGAATTTTGAAAAGCAAAAGACACACAGGATTAGATTGTCTGAGAAGAGTTTGTGTGGCATGTGTACGCTGGTAACAAATTGAGGACACAGCTCCAAACCGGTGTTTGCCTCAGTTCCTGGGGAGGCTTAGGAAACCCAAGGTTCAGGCACTTCCATGCCCCACCACACACAGAGAAAGCTCTGTGTCAGTTCCAACTGCACAGCAGTAAGAGGCTGGATTTAAGAAACAGAAATTGTCTGCTCATGGATAAATTGAAAGTTGGAAGATCGCCTCATAATTCAAAGTTTACAAGTATTTAGGACCACCTCAGCTATAACAGAAAGATGCCAAATGCAAGCATTGAACAGGTTTCTAAGAAAATGCCAAGCTTATACAGCAAAGAGAAGGAGCATTTAAGAAAGTGTACATTAACTTTCTCAACAGGAGTAGTCATCCATGAAACAAGAGCAGGCTATTATAAGAAAAAAAATGAAGCTGTAAATGGAAAGGCATGGCCGTTTAAATTAAAAAGAAAAAATTCAGCCAAAGAACTGAAACACATAATTGACATAACTAAAGAGCAATTCAGTAGCTGAAGAAATTGGAACACTGAGAAAGAAAAACCCAAAAATAGAACAGTGGACAATGAATAAGAAAAAATGATTCACAGGTAAAGAAATCCAAGTGACCATTAAGTATATGAAAAGACCTCAGCATCAGTGGTCATCAGAAAAGTACAAGCTAGACAATAGCACACTCCGGTGTCTGCTCATTTGATGGAGGAAAAATTAAAGGGCTGGTAAACCCCGGTGTTGGCAACAGTGTGGGGAAACGGCCTCATATAGTTTTGGCAAGAGCGTGACTTGGCACCACGTCTTTGGAAAGCAATCTGGCAGCTCTTTTCTAATTAATCTGGGCATACTTTATTTCCAGAAAATTCAGTTCAAGGAATCTATCCCAGAAAAATGCTGCCTATGTATCCATAGTGACATAGTGACATATACACAGTACCAAGGTCTTAGAAACACTGTTCATGGTCATGAAATTGGAAGCTGCAGAGGTGAGTGTAAGAGGGGAATGGATCATTAAACTGCACTCTACATCCATACTAGGGAATCCCCAAGCATTTACAAGGACTGGTACATAGACTAAAAGATCTAGACACATTTTTTTGAGACAGGGTCTTTCTCAGACATCCCAAGCTGACCTCAGACTGGATATATAGCTGAGGATGACCTTGAATATCCCATCCTCCTGCCTCAACCTCCTGAGTGCTGGGATTATAGGCTTGCACCACTACACCAGTTTATGCAGTGCTGGGAATCAAACCCTGGGCTTTGTGAATGCTAGGCAGTCATGCTGACAATTGACCTACATTCCCAGCCCCTCCTACCCACATTCTGGTAACAGCCAGCACCTACTGATGATGTTGAAATGTCAGACATATTTTTCCATCACTTTACACAGTGGCATCTCATTATAATCAAGTAGTGAGGAGGAAACTGAGCCAAAACCATGAGCCCAAAGTCATGCACAACGAAACTGGGATTTAAATTTGGCATTCTGATTCCAGAGATTATGCCTTCATATATTTTCTATGGTTTATTAAATGTGTGGAAAAATTAAATCATTGAGCTATATGCTGTGAAAAATAACAAAAGTATGCATTCCCTATGTGCATACATTTTAATGTTACTGCCCAGCAAATACTCAGATAGGCACATGGTTCACTGGCAATTTAAGGTAAAGGAGGGAATTGGGGGGTTGAAATGAATGAGGCTGTCACTTGTATTAAATTTTATTTTAACGTAATGGTGAATTATTTGTGTAATTAAAATTTTCGTTTATCAAATTAGGCATGGTGGCACACACTTTTAATCCCAGTACTTGGGAGGCAGAAGCAGGTGGATCTCTGTGAGATCGAGGCCAGCCTGATCTAGTACCAGGCCAGCTCGGACTGCAGGGAGACCCTGTCTCAAAAGAAAACAATTCTTTTATCAAAGCTGGCCACCAGATCTCCATGTGGGCATAGATGATATCTTTCTGTAGAGCTAGAAGCAAAATTGTTGGTTTCCAGAATTTAGACTTGACATCAAAAAGTTTTAAAGACATCTGGCCTGGCCTTCCTGCACAGAACCTGTCCTGGAAGCTGAACACTAACTCTGCTTGAAACACTGGTGGAAACAAGAAGTCATGGTTGCTTAAGTAGCTTGTTTTGAACAAGGAAAACAAACACTGCAGCTTATAGGGAAAGCACAAGCTGGCGAGGAGGGCAACTGGAGCCATAACTCCTAGTTTGAGCTGGTATCAGCCATAAGAACTTAGCCAAGTATCTTGGCCTCTTTGACCTTTGTTTCCTGATCTGTGAACAGGGCTGATATGCTTCCTTAACAGAGTGGCTGTGGAGACTAAATGAGGGCATGTATGCAAGACCCAGAACAGCACTTGACCCGAGAAGCTACCAGTATTCACACACGGTATTAGACAGTCTAGTTGCCCAGCAGAATTCTAATCCTGGGTACCTGTGAATGGGTAATTTTTCTCTTCTACTTTCTCTCCTCTCTCTTTTTTCCTCTCTTTGCTTTTAATATAGTTTTTTGTTGTGGTGGTTGGTTGGTTAGTTGGTTGGGCTTGTTTGTTTGTTTTTCACTCTTTACCCCAAGCTGCCCTTCAACTGATGATCCTCCTGCCTCAACCCCCAGAGCACTGGGATTACAGGTGTTTGCCACCATTCCTAGAGGAACAAGTGACTTTTCTATGTGCTTTATTCATAAGGCTGGGTGAGAACTATCTCTCAAGCCCTGGGGTCTTCCATGGATAGATGAAGAAAAGGCAACACAAATCCAAGTATCTCTAGTATAGCAAAAGCCCAGTGCAAGCAATTCTGTGATTCCTTCTACATAAAAATTCAAGTAGGTATTGGACCTGAAGCTACCATAACTCACTATCCCATTGGACCTGATTTTCTAGTCACTGAGGTATAATTCTTCTCATGGTTATGATAGCTTCCAATAGCTGCATTAACACAAAGCTGCTTCTCACTACACACACGATTTGCAAGACAGCATCCTTCCTGATAGGGGCCAATGGCAGGGGACAAGTAATAGAGTTCTAGACATAGGAGCTCCATACTCAGTGGACAGTCATGGAGTGCAGTTATAGATACAGTCTTGTACAAAGTCCACAAGATCTCAAATAAGCATTGTTTGCATTCATTTGTCTAGTGCTATGATTTGAATATGCCCCCCAAAGCATTTGTCCAACACATAAGTGCAATTGTAATGGTTGTATTGGATGAGATCTGTAAGAGGTGATCAAGCCACAAGGGCTCTGCCTTCATGAGTGGGTCAAAGTCATTATCTCATCAGTCTGTTGCTTATTAGAAAGCAAGTGTGGCCCCTCTAGTGTGACTGTGTGTGAATGCCTCTGTGTGTACTGAGACACACACCTGTGCATGTAGGAGAGTGTAAAGGCCAGAGGTCAACTTCAGATATCTTCCTCTATAACTCTTTACCATGTCTGGTTTTATGTAGGTGTTGGGGGTCTGAACTCAGGTCCTCATGCTTTCACAGCAAGTATTTGAGCCACTGAACCATCTCCCAGGCCCCAAGTCTGGCCTCCTCTTATACTCACCCATTCTCTTGTTCTCTGTCCCTCTCTCCTTTCTCTGCTCTTCCAGTGTCTACTCTGGGACGATGCAGCAAGAAGACCCTCCCCAGGAACTGGAGAGATGGCTCAACAGTTAGGAGTGCGGTCTACTCTCACAGAGGACCTGGGTTCAGTTCCCAGCACCCACACAGTGACTAACAACCATCAGTAACTCCAGTTTCAGGGGATCTGACGCCCTCATCTGGCCTCCACGGGCACTGCACACACAGGCACAACTTAACACACATGCAGGCAAAACATTCTTATGCATTAAATAAGCAGGTAAATAAATAAATACTTAATGGGATATTTCTTAAAAGAAAATAAAAAAGAAGCCCTCTTCAGGTGACAGTCCCTTAGTCTTGGACTCCCCAGTCTCTAAAAGTATGAAAAACAAGTTTCTGTTCATTTAAATTTTTCTAATCTGTAGTATTCTGTTATATGGCAGAAAAAAGCAGAGGACACTGGGACTCACTGGGACTAAGTGACCTGTCAAGGTCATACATGTTCCAAGTGGCAAAGCTAGAGACAGAAGAAAAGCTGTTTTGAGCACAGGACTGCTTGGTGTACTTCAGCTAGCTCTCAAAACTGCCAGAGTTCTGGCTAAGAAGTCATCCAGAGGGGCTCTTCTGAGACTAAGAGATGGGCTTAGACAGAGGGCTGGTGGCCAGGCCAGGGTACTCTGGTAAAAAGAGGCTTGGGAACAGAGTTATAGGCACACATGCAGATCAGAACATAAGGCAGAGAGGAGAACAGGGACCCCAGTGTCAGCCCTGGGCAGCCACTGGTCTTCTACCCCAGTGTATTGTACATCTGAGATCCTGCAGTCCCGGGCTTCCTTCAGACCCTCCCTTCAGGCCAAATTTTTGCCGGTTTCATGCCTGACTAGCACCCCAAAGAGGGATACCTTGTGGAAATCAATGAGATCCGTGAGTGTGGCATGGCGATTAGGGTCAACTCCCAGAAAGCTGTAGAAGTCTCCAGAGGCATCCACAAGGAAGTGCTTGAAGCCTCGCTGCAGGCGATAGGATAGGGTGTAGCCCCAGATTTTCTCACTGACCCGGACCAGAAAAGCTCCCTCTGTCATATTCTCCAGGAGATCTTCCGCATTTTCTCGGCTAATAATCCCTGGTTTAAAAAAAAAAAAAGAAAAGAAAAAGGAGAAAATACAACAAATTTGGTAAGTTCTGCATGTCCTCCCTCTCTGTAGCCAACACATCTCTCTCTTAGGCTCAGTACCCAGGCCAACTGTGCTGACTGGTCTTTGTTAACTTAACACAAACTAGAGTCACCTGGGAAGAGGAAATCTCAACTGAGGAATTTCCTCCATCAAACTGGTCAACAGACATGTCTGTGGGACATTTTCTTGATTTCTAATTGATGTTGGAGGGCCTAGACCACTGTGAGCAGTATCATCCCTAGGCAGGTGGGCCTGCGCTGTATAAGAAAGCTAGCTGAGCAAGCCAGTAAGCAGTATTTCTCCATGGTCTCTGCTTCAGTTCCTACCTCCAGTTTTTTGTTTGAGTTCCTTCCATGATGGACTGTCACCTATAAAATGAAATCAATCCTTTGCTCCCTATGTTGGTTGGTTTTGGTCAGTGTTTTATCACTGCAACAGAGAAGCATACTAGGACACCAACCATGTTTCCTGGAATGTAGGAAGGGAGAAGGACCTTGGGAGCTGATTAGCCTCTGTCTCCTGTCATAAAACGGGCATCTTGGCCCAGAGCAACCAGCCATGAACCTGGGGACAGCATTTCTACAAATGTCTGAGGTAAGCATACTTTTCTCCAAAGTAAACCACACTAATTTGGATTAATTAGGTAAGCAAGGAATTAGTAATGAACTGGAATCATAGCATTTATTGATTACAAATACTAATCGGTAGACACTGCTCTGTGGAGAGCCTTAGAGCCCAGAGTTAATGACTAGGCTAGAATGGCAGAGGGCTGTGCCACATTTACCTGGTACAATAGAGAACCTGAAAACTGTTTTCAGTTCTCATTTTGAAAAATGATTATGACATTGCAATACAATATTTGTGCTAGCAAGCACAAGGGCCTGGGTTTGAACTGAAGGACTGAAGAACAAAACAACCAATAATGTACAGTGGAGTAACAAAAAAAGTGTGAAAATATCTCCTGATGTTTTAAGTAAGTTTACAGTTTACTTCATAGATAAGCCGGGGTACATGCAGCCCAAGGGCATAGAAGCTTCCTTCAAATGCTTGTATATACTGGTCACAAAGTTTCAAAGTGGGGCCTAGGGTGAAGTTTCACTTCCATCAGAAACAGAACCTTCTAAAGAGTTTCAACTCATGCACTTGGCCTTGGAATTATTTAGGTATTGGCAGCCACCTTAGAAATACATTCATGAAGCTGTTGTCATCCCAATAACTCAGAGAGATCAAGTGTTCAGTAGGTCAGTCTCTGGAAAGAGGGGAGGTGGGGAAAGGGGAAGGAGCTAAAAATAGTAGAGTTATTCCTCAACCCCCATTCCATGGGATCGCCTGCCAAGGCCCTGACTTCGCCATGGTTCTCTGACATTTAAGTCATCATAACCCATCTATTCCACAGATACATTATGGCTTTCAAGTCAGATAAAGAGCTGGAGATGATTTTTCATCCTAGTAATAGTTATAGAAATGTTGGGTCCTGTCATCTTCTACTGTTTTGAAGAAGGAGCAGATTACAACACGTCCCCTCCACACACACCCACTTGCCTTTCTGACAAGATGCACACATCCTTTTTGTTCCTGTGCCTGAGGCAGAGGACACAGGCACCCACATAATGAAATGCCCACCTTTCAAAGACAGCCAATGTGCTTGAGGACCAATGTTTACTTCCTTCCCACTCAGATAAAATGTCCATTGAGCTGGCTAACCCTCCCCAACAGGGAAAGTAAGTGGACAGCTCCAGAGGTAGAGCAGGAGAAGGAGCACCTCCCAGCCATGGGACACCTGAAGAATACACATCATGTACATTGTTCCATACGGGAGATGTACCCCAGGTTGGCTTTTGGTGACTTCTTTAACAGAGAAGCAGTAACAGCCAAAATAGGCACAAAAGGAATGTCCAGGATCTATCCAAAGACTCAGGACTGCCCCTAAGCAGCCTCCCTCCCCACCACACTTAGGCCCTAAGGATGACAGCAGGCAGTAAACCAGGAAACACAGAAACAGGGCCAGGAGCTGGAAGAAGGGCCCCAAACCCATGCTGGGAAGCAAGGCTCAGCCTGGGCTGGGAGTTAGAGAGTAGAGAAGGTGACACACAGCAGGAGGCTTTGAAGCCACATTTGAATAGGACTCAGCTTTCAATATTTTTTTCCTTTTAAACAATATCTTTATTTCAATTCTTCTAGGGTTTTCTTTGTTTGTTTGTTTTTATTCTTAGACGGTAAAGTTCAAGCCCAGGCCTCTGTGCTTGCTAGCAGGTGTACTGGTAGGTGCTATTCTATGAGCTACACCTTTGCCCTTAGTTATTTTTATTTTTCAATTGACAAAAAGTATACAACTTTTGGTATAAAACAGGATATTTTGTGGGATGGGTAACTCAAGCTATAGATGTAATACCTCACATGCTTATTTTGTGGTAAGAATAATTAAAATCTATTTTCAGCAACTTTCAAGTACAGACTAATACTCTTAACCAGTCACCACAATGTGCAACAGCTCTCTTAAAATTATACTTCCTGGGCTGGAGAGATGGCTCAGTGGCTACTCTTGCAGAGGACCTGTATTCAAATACCAGTACCCACATGGCAGCTGACAACCATCTGTAACTCCAGTACCAGGAGATCCAACACCTTCTTCTGACTTCCATGGCTATTGTACGACTTGGGTGCACTTCATGCATGTAGGTAATACACTCATGCGCATAAAATAATTTGTTTTAATTATACTTCCTATCTAATTGATTCTTTTGTCCTTTGACCAACATGTCCCCCACCTGTACCAGCCCCAGCTAACCACCACTCTACCCTCAGCTTCTGTGAGCTCTGCTTCTTTAGATTCCGTGTGTGGACACCACCATGCAGCATTCATCTTTCTCTGCCTGCCTTATTTCACTTAGCATAATGTGTCTTTCAAGATCATCCCAGTTATCACAAATGTCAGGATTTCACTCTTTCATAGCTGAATAACACACCATGTTTTCTCCTCCAATCATCCATCAATGGGCATTCAGATTGATTCTGTGCCTTGGCTATTGTAAATAATATTACAGTAAAACACAGAAGTGAAGATGTGTCTTCAAGAGACCGACTCCATTTCCTTTGGATATGTAGCCCAAAGTAGACTTAATACCATAGGTTATATGATAGTTCTCTTTTTTTAGATCTTAAGGAATTTCCATGCTGTTATTCATGTAATCTGCATTCCCACCAAGTGTGCAACTAATTTTTCTCTACATCCTCAATAGTAGTTATCTATAGGACTCAACTTTTTCGTACTCCAAAGTTGAGCAGTGTGATAATGACTTTCCTGAAATGCCTTCTGTCAGAAGGAATTTTGTCTCATGTTTTGAGATCATTTATCACTATGTATTTAATCTGCTTTCCTATTGTGTAAGTAGCTTGTTTAAACGGAACTAGGCCTTACCTCTTGTAATTAACTTTTACTAGCCAAGCTAAACCCATAGCTTTAATCTTAAACTATGATCCCTATTTCTCCATTATAACACTTCCTTGCCCATGGCCCAGAATGTGTGTGTGTGTGTGTGTGTGTGTGTGTGTGTGTGTGACCTTGTGACATCTGCCACAGAGTAGTAACCCCAAAATGATCATGTCCTGTCTCTGCCCTAGAGCTAAAGTTCTTGAACAGCTTCCACTGACTTCCAGGAGTGTCTAGGCATGGAAGAAGAGCCTTCTCGTCCTGTGCCCTTACTCCTCTTCAGGTTTATGGGTCACCTTCCTTGGAGCTAAAGCCTTATCCTCCTTCCTTGGCCCACTTGTTCTGCCTCTGAACAAGTTAGAGAAAGTGGCTGAATTACAGAAAGTTCCCTCTCTGAGCCAAGATAAAAAAGCCTGCAGCTTGACTGAGGGAGAAAACAGCTATATGTCAGTCCTCTGCACTCCCTAACTGGCCCCCTTAGCAGGGTCCTTGCTTAATGCAGAAGCTACTCAGTCAATCAAAACAGCATCTCTATCTCGGGAGGCTGCATTAGACCTTCCACTTTGAGTTTTCACAGCATCCTACCCAATCCCTCCAGCACATTAGCAGAGAGGGCTGTGGATTGCTCAATTGACTACCATGGGAACCTGAGCCTGGACCTCCCTTCAGGAGAGACTTACAAGGAGAAGTTCATGCCCTACAAGATCCGCCACAGAGCATGACACTCCAGCCATGACTGAGTACAGCAGCCCCAGAACTGCCAGTCTTGCACAGTGCTAAACTCCCCACTTTCGGGTGAGCATTCTAGTCTGGGGCTCCCCATAAGCCTGACCAAGATCTCTGAGCTGCACCGCATGGGACAGCTCTTCTCAACCCAGCACCTTCATCCTCACACGTGTCAGGCCTCTCACCTATCCGTTCCTCTCAGCTTGTCCTTCTCAGCACCCCCAGCCTCCCACAACCACTCCTACCTCTGCTTCCCAGATGAAAGAGCAGAACCACCTTAGAAACCATACACCGTATCTTCAGATCTAAAGTGCTTAGGATGTTAGGAAGTATGCTTGGGCAAATATTGAGAACACAGACTAAAATCTCAATTCAGGAACTTGCTTCGGAGGTGGCTGTGGGAACATCACCTAAATCTCCCTGAAACACAGATTTGCCTGTTTGTTTGAGGGAGGGTCTCATATAGCTCAGGCTGGCCTCAAAGTGGCTATGTAGCTGAGGATGACCTTAACTCCTGACCCTCCTGCCTCTACCTCCCAAGTGTCTACTATTATAGGCAGAGGCTACATACCCAGTTCTATGTGGGGCTAGGTCTGGAACCCAGGGCTTTGCACATTCTAGGCAAGCACCACACCAATGAGAGACATTCCCAATTCTGAAACACAGTTTGGAGTCTTCATCTATTAAGTTGTTTTAATTTTTTTTTAAATCTGTCATAAGGAGGCTTGAGAACTAATGCACTGGTGTGCTTAGCAACATGTTTAAGAGCATAATAAATAATAAACACAATAT